AGAGAGAGAGAGAGAGAGAGAGAGAGAGAGAGAGAGAGAGAGAGAGAGAGAGAGAGAGAGAGAGAGAGAGAAGGAGCGATAGATATATAATATGTTATATACTCATAATAATAACAAAAGTGTATTATATTATATTTCTGATAATCTTTTTCCCACCAGATGAACAAGATTGGCGTGTTTAGCTGCGGTCCACCGATACTGACGCACGGCATCGACCGCGCATGCGCCATCGTCAACCAGACGAGACAGCTGCCCAGCTTTCTGCACTTCTACGAGAACTTTTAACGCGAGCCAACCATAGTTCGTAGTTTCGTCGATAGAGGCGCACGTGTCGCAGTTTTATTCGTTTATTCATCAAGAGAAGATCGTTCCTGAGCTTATAGTATAGATCTACTGATCGCAGAAATGCTCACACACGACAGTGGCGACTGCAGATTGAATACTGTGTTTTGGAATTGTTGAATTCGTGAAATATTTATATACCTACGCGCGTACGTATGCATGCATTATGTCAGCATGCATGTACGTATGTAAATGCGTGTGGACGTTCATGAAAGTATACATGAATAATGGGTAACCATGCAGGGCAGAAGGTAGCCAATTGCAACCGATTGCAGCTATACTATAGAGGGCGCAATGAGCTTGGAAAATTGTTTCTTAGTTATCATTTATCACGATGAAGAATTGATCACCTTCTCCGCTTCTGGGCGATCTATTGATTGATTATTCACTGTGACTGTTAATCGATCATTCGTCGTGCGTCTCGCACAGTCACCGCTCCCGCCACTCTGTGCGTCTGCTGCCAATAGAGCGTGCGTCACAACGCGCGAGCTTACGTTGACGGATGACGTCATCGGTGCAATGGCAGCGGTAGGCACGCTGTTAGCGATCTATATTCTGCGATGTAGTAATCACGATAGGTAATTAATGAGTGTGTGTATGTTCGGGTGAACAGGAGTGGCCGTGTTACTATGTGAAAGAATATGCAAAGGTTGCAATGTGCTCTTAACTGTTTCGAGGGAGGGAGCGTATATAGGAATATTATTTTTTGTAAATACGGAATTAGCGCTTGTATTATATGTTTGGTAAGCAGGAATGTGTAAATACGTGAATATGCGACGTATGAGGCTAGATCATAGATTTTAGTCAATTACATAGCGATAGAACGTAGTTCTAAACAATGGCTCCACCATAAGTGTAGCGTCTACATGATCAGTAATGCTCCCGTTACTTTATCGTTTCGTTTCCACGAGAAACGGAACTTTAACTCGTCTTACAACTGTCTCTATGATGTCTTTACAGGCACTGATCACCGCAGAAATGAAAATAGAAATATATTTGTTTGCTAGGGGGTCCACACACAGTGCGTGTAGAATGGTTTCTGTGTCATACGTGCGGTCGAGTATGTGTAGCCAGTAAAGCATTCAGATGTATCCGACATCTACTTTGTACATGTTCCAATACATAGTCAGACGTAAACAGATCTGTAGAAACATACACACGTGCACGCACACACGCACGCGCATACACACACGCAAGCATGCACGCCCACACGCACACCCACGCACGCACGCATGGATGCATGCAAATATACGAGCACGTACACACAGAGAAACAGAGAGGGAAGTGGTGAGAAAGAGAGTAAGGGATAGCGAGAACGATAGAGATAGATTGATAGAAAAATAGACAGAGAATATCGTCTGCTCTCTCTCTATCGTCTGCGTCACACAGATTACTGCGTGCTGTCGGAGAACAACGACCTGCGGCGCGTCATGGGTCACGGCATCTGTGTGACCCGCGGTGCCGCTCACGTCATGTCGTTCACCTTCTCGCTGCTGCTGCTCACCGTCTGCCGACACATCATTACGGCACTGCGCGACACCGTCATCAATCAGTACATCCCGTTAGACTCGGCCCTCGAGTTTCACAAGATCGTCGCCTGCACGTCGGCATTTTTCACAGGTTCGGACACAGTTCTTCACAGGTCACGCATTCTTCATTTAACCAATTATCCGACGCCGAGTGGGCGGGTTCCCACCCGCCCACTCGGCGTCGGATAATTGGTTAAATAAAGTTTATTTAGTTGATTATTTGTTTTAATTAAAGTTAATTTTTCAATTAATTAATTCGTTTGGTAATTACATTATTTCATTTTATTTATTTATATTTGTTTAACTTGTTTATTTATTCATTATTTATTAATTAATTTATTTATTCATTGATTAATTCCTTCACTCATTCATTCATTCGTTTACTTTGTGTTTACGATTTACTAGTTACGAATTACAGTTTTACTAGTTTTACCTGCCGATAAATTGCCTGAGTTTGCACCATAGAAATAATATAGATAACTATAGATAACTATAGATAGTCTATCTATATTATTTCTATGGTTTGCACACTCGTTTGCAACATAGAGAGCATGCGGCTGCATGCAAGCTCAAGGCGGGCGCCCCCGCCCTAATACACATCGCTCTCGTTCGCCAGCATTACCCGAAGCTCGATTGCTTTCATTGTTACCGCAGTGGGATATGTTAGGAACATTCGATTGAACTTTACATCACAAAATAATATTTAATTCGATGATATTGAATAAAATTTAACTAATTAATTAATTTAATTTAATGAAAATTCGATCAAAAACAACAACTGAACATCTGTGTGATTCACGTGATTTCAGCCGTTCACTCTGTCGGTCACATCATCAACATGTATCACGTGACCACGCAGCCGATCGAACATCTGATGTGCCTGTTCAAGGAAATCACGTTTCCGTGAGTAGTGTCGCACTACTAATGTTTTTGTTTGCATCCTAACTATTAAAAGTTAGTGTGTGATTAAAATCGGGAGTAAAGTACATCAAATTGTATTAGGAGATGTCGAATATCGTTTTAAACACCGAGTTAATTATACGTTATTATTTGAAATCGACACTTTTCCGCGTGATCGCATGGGCGACGTTTGTATTTATTACATTTTGCAACGTCATAACATCTTTACGCAATTTTCAGCTCGACGTTTCAACCAAACTTCGTATACTTCCTGTATAAGACAGTCACAGGTAAGACTTGTGCAGCATAGCTTATCCAGTAAACGGGCCCGCGACTGAATACAATAATAACTTACCATATATATGTATGTGGTATGTGTTATAGATATGTATATACAAGGTGTATTATATATATATTATATATGAATAGTATTATATATATATATATAATTATATATATATATATATGGTATATATATATATATATATATATTATTATACTTATCTTATCCGAATCGTCTCCTGCCATAATTCCGATAAAGTAATTGTATCCACACGTTACGAATGGTGGGTATATGAAGAATAAATATGCGTACAAGGCCTTATAACGCATAACCACGTATATATAATTACCTATATAACTCATAACAAATAAAACTTACATAATAACTATAATAATAATAAAACTAGTAAAACTTATAGATTAACTAAAAAAAAACATAACTAATGAAACATATATTAAATGAATTACATTAATTCGATCTGTCGCTGGTGACGTGACTGATATTGTGGATGCTTCGCTTTCCTCCATCCCTCCCTCTATCACCGTCTAGGTCTTACTGGTCTCATACTCGTCGCTATCTGCTACATACTGTTTTATCTTCGCCACGCCCGTCGTACGTCTGCGCGCCTTCAAGGCGTTCTGGCTGACGCATCACCTGTACATACCGATATACGTTCTCATGATCGTGCACGGATCAGCAAAGATGCTGGAGGTTAGTACTGCGTGTGTGTGTAGTGTGTGCGTGTGTGTGTGTATGTGTGTGTGTGGCGTGCGCGTGTTGTGCGTGTGCGTGTGCGCTGTGTGTGTGGCGTGTGCGCGTGTGTGTGTGTGCGTTCGCGCTGTGTTAGTGCGTGTGCGTGCGTGTGTGTGTGTGTGTGTGTGTGTTGTGTGTGTGTGTGTGTGTGTGTGTGTGTGTGTGTGTGTGTGTCTGTGTGTGTGTGCGTGCACGGTACACACAGGGATAAGCGTAGTTACGAATAGGCTCATAAATCCGCAGATGTTAAACGTAATCTAGTTTATTCAGTTTTCTGTTTCAATGTTGGCGTAATACTTAAAAATTCGTGCTATGTGTGCGTGTGTACGTCCCGCGCCTATAGAATAATCCAGAATATTCGGCCTCATCTGTACTCTCTGTGTGCTTGCGTGTTGCAGGCGACCTCTAATTTTACTACTACGCTCCTCGTCGCGGCGCATCTTGTTCGTCTTAGATCAATTAATCCACATGGGGACGGCAGGAAGGTAAGAGCTCGAATCTTGTTAACCCCGGCCGCCCGAACTGCTTCGTCAGGGTATGTTTTATCGGTATATATTATATAGCACACACATGATATATACTTACTATATATTATTATTAATACTATATACGGTGTGGCTGTGTGTGTGAATGTTGTGTGTGTGTGTGTGTGTGTTGTGTGTGTGTGCGTGCGTGGGCGGTCGCGTGAGCGTCGCGTGCGTAGCGTGCGTGTGTGCCGTCGCGTTCGATGCGTGCGCGCGGTGTGTGTGCCCGTTGCGGGTGCGTGCGTGCGTGTGTGTTTTTGCGTGCGTCAGCGTGCGTGTGTGCGCGTGGCGTGCGTGCGTGTCGTGCGTGCGTGCGTGCGTGCGCTGCGTGTGCTCTCTCTCACTACTCCTCGTCTCTTCTCGGCTCTCCTCTCTCGCCCATCCTCTCTCTCTCATCTTCCCCTTCTTCTCTCTCGCTCTCCTCTGCTCACACTCTCTCCCCGCATCTTCTTCCTCCGACTCTCCTGCTCTCATCTCTCTCTCATCTCTCTCTCCCCCACTCTCTCTCTCGCGTCCTCTCCTCGATCGCCCTCTCTCTGGCTCTCTCTGCTCTCGTCGTCGCTCCTCCCCCTCTCTCCTCCCTCACCACCCCCTCCCACTCCCCACCACCCCCTCTCTCTCGTCTTCTCTCCACACTCTCTCCCCCTCTCATCTCACTCTCACATACTCTGCTACCCTCTGCTCATTCTCTCTCTGCCCTCTCTCGTGCGCAGACGTGACGAAGATCGTGTTGCGGCTTTCGCTCCAGCTTCGCAGTAACCGCTCCGCTGAGCAGCTGGCTACGCCTCTGCTGTCGGCGGTGCGCCCGACGAGTTCGCCACTCGTTTGCAAGCGAATCGACGTCTGGCCGCACCGAGACCCGCTGCTCTCCGTGCAGCGTGAAGCGCGCTCGGACGCATGCGACGTGGAAGCTGGGCGAAAGTTCCGGTCGATCCGCGCAAACATGTGCAAAGCTCTCCTATCGCGAACGCGGTTGAGCGGCGAGAGGAGGATGAGGGGGAGGGGAATGGGGAGGAAAGGAGGAGGGAGAGGAGAACAGAGATGTGTGCAGGTCTCTCTCCGAAGGTGAGGGGAGTGTGAACAGATAGGTAAGGAGGGAGGTAGGGACGGGGGGGAGATGATTCAGGGGTCTATATCGCTATCACTCATTTTTATATGCATCTATATCATCTATATCATCTATATTATCTATATGCTCTATGATCATCTATATCATCTAATATCATCTATATGATCTATATCATCTATCATCATCTTATATTATCATCTTATATTAACAATCTATATTGTCATCTATATATATTATGATGATGTCTTGGCTACATCAGAAGGTATTCCCGCCTGTGTAGGTGATTATCTGACGGACGGCGTAGGGGGCTGGCAACCAGTGCAGGAATGTACAAGTAACGACGTTGCCGTGCATGATAGGTGGAGGCATCGGCATAACGCCGCAGCGCGCTAGCTCGTCCATACTCCGCGATCTCGGTGTACGGCACGTCGGACGAACCGCGTACCAACGGAGTCGCCTGCAACGAAGGTGAGGGCAGTGGCAGGCAAAGCGTGGGGTGAGGCGGGGTGAGGCGGGGTCGAGGCCGTGGGTGAGGCGGGGGCGAGGACGGCGGCTGGAGGGCGGGGGGGGTAGGGGGGTCGTTGAATATAACAAGTCGTTCGGGTAGCTACGCGTATTATCGGCGTCTGTTTGTCCATGGGACCCGAGCCGTCAGTCCCGTCGTCTTATTTGTCTGCCTCTGTATGTGTTGTGGTGTGCGTGTGGGCGTGTGCGTTGGTGCGTGTGCGTGTGCGTGGTGGACGTGTGCATGTGGTGGCGTGGTGCGTGTGCGTGTGTGCGGTGTGGGGTGTGCGTGTCGCGTGTGCGTGTGCGTGTGCCGTAATTTGTGGCGTGCGTGGCGTGCATGCGTGGCATGTGGGTTATAGTATTATATTAGGGTGCATGTTATGCGCGCCATTGTAAGAGAAGATATGCATTGAAAGCTGTAGCATTCTTTTGAACACGCACGACCGCAATAAACAAAAAACAAAGTACTTTGTAAATAATCACATTATCAAAACGTATGCAAATCTTCGGCATAACATGAAGGTCGCGAATCGAGTAGGACGAATATATGCAATCGATCGATTCATCAGCGTGTAGCTTTCTGTGGGATTGCTGTTTCCGACGCAGCGAGACCGGAGCTGGGAGTGGTTGCTGCGACGTTCTCCGGACACGTAGAGGGACGCTGACGTCATGAACGTATCCAGCACGGTGAACATCTTCGTCAGCCAGTACTCTCCACACGTTCGATCTGAGAACGATGATGGGCTGTAAGCGCTGTAGTTACCATCTGATAGGCTACCGCCCCGCGGAGAGCGGGGAGGCGAGAGGGAAGAGAGAGAGGGAGAGAGGATAGGGAGAGAGAGAGAGAGAGAGATAAAGAGAAGGAGAGAGAGAGAGAGGCAAGAGAGAGAAGAGAGAGAAAGAGAGCGAGGGAGAGGAGAGAGTAGAGAGAGAGAGAGAGATGGAGAGAGAGAGAGGAGAGAAAAGAGAGAGAGAGAGAGAAAGGGAGAGACGAGAAGCAGAGAAGAGAGGGAAGAGAGCAGAGAGAGAGAGAGAGAGTAGAGAGGAAGACAAGAGAGAGAATGGGGAGATGCGGAAACGGAGAAAAAGAGAGAAGGGGAGAGATAAGGGGATAAGGCGAGAGGGAGACGGACGAGGAAGAGCGAGAGAGAGATGAGGCGCGAGAGAGTAGAAAAGAGAGAAAGAGGGAGACAGGGCAAGTCTGTCGTTACAGGTCGTTAACTAGCGGGCGTCTCACATACAACCCTCAATAACGAAATCGCTAGTATGGGCTCTACGTTCAGGCATTTCAGTACATCTGGGCGAGCAGCAGGGCTTTCACGTCGTCCACGAAGAGAAGCATGTTCACACCGGGGGCCTGAAGGCGACAAAATCACGTTCGGTAGGCCGACTTTTGAACAGATATTCAAGTTCGTGCGCGAGCCTAGCACGCTGGCCGGAGGTGAGTGCTTAATGCGCAGCGCGGATTGCGATCGCGCATATTGGTTGTACTATCGCTGCAGTTGATCGCGCACACGAGAGAAATGTTCAGCATTGAGTGCTTCAGGGCGTGTAGACTGCTTATCATAGCGTTAACATCTACCCGTCAGTGCATTTATAATGTCAGGATAATAATACGGCGTATAATAATACATACTAATAATAATAGTTATTATATGTTATATTATGCATATTATATAATATATAATATATTATTATATATAATATATATATACTATTATATTATTATTATATATATATAGAGAGCGAGAGAGAGAGAGAGAGAGAAAGAGAGAGAGAGAGAGAGAGAGGAGAGCGAGAGAGAGAGAGAGGAGAGAGAGAGAGCAGACAGGAGCGCTAGATTATATAATATGTTATAAAATTACTCAATAATAATAACAAAAGTGTAATTATACTTATATTTCTGTCCAATGCTTTTTCCGCACCAGAGTGAACAAGATGTGGCGTGTTTAGCTGGCGGTCCACCGATACTGCATCTCTCTCACAACAACATT